TTCAGGTGATACTTGATGGTCGTTGACTTTATTAGTGCACTGCTGACGATGGCCATAATACAATTCAGAAGGTATATGCACTAATAAAAGTTTTTAGTATAGTTGACAGTGGTGAGATGCCATACGTATGAAAACAGATACAATGCAAAATGGGAGCAAGTCGAAAAAGGAACTTATCGTCTGTGAGAGTTCCTTGGTGAAAGTCCGGATGGCAGGAACGTGTTTCCTCCGCAGTATGACTGCTACACGTGTTCCATAATTGTCCCTGAACTTGTGGAGAGTGATTGACTTCCTGCTCTCTGTACGCGCGCGAGTCTCTGTGTGTGCTGACATTGTTCGGTTTCCCTATGTGTAAGTCCGTTTGCGTGTACGTGGGTGTGTCAGCACATGAGTTGTTGCTACGCTCAATAGACGGTAGGGACAATCGATGTCCGATGAGTCACGTCAATGTGACGTGAGTTGTGCGTATCAAAAAAGACAAGTTTCGTGATCCAGTGAGTGACTGTGAGCTGAACAGTCAAGTATTTGGGTGACTGGGTAGCTACGACTCTAATGTGCCTTGTTATCTAGGGAGCCGTTTTCGGGCTTTGATCAAAACTGCTGTCGATTTTTCGGTCAGCTAACTCAACGAAATGCGTCTTTTCAGGCGTCTTCTTTCTGTTCTATCAACGTAAATTTCTTTGCAACTATGGGTATTTCGATATATGGCGCAGCAAAGAAACAGGTTGGATTTTGACAACTACTTTTATTTGCACACGAATTTGGTTTTTTACGGAAGACTCAACTGAACCCAGCTGAATCTCTCGTTTATGAATGTCAGCCGGATTTAGTTGAGTCTGCTGCCCAAACCAAATTCATCTGCAAGTATAAGTGGTTGTCGAAATCGGTCCAACATGGATGCGAGTAGGACATAACTTTGACGGAAACTTGGGGACTGTGCCTAACTTATGAGCCCCAACATGGGCGAGGGCAATCTTAGGAGTATGAAGAGTTCTATTCTTCAAGTTGACTTGCCTCTTTTTAGCTATCACTAGGTTACATCAAGCCTGGCGATAAATTCATGTTGTACAGCCACATGACTTCCAGAGTTCTTCAACAAGTGTTTTCGGTGAGTTTTTGACATATTTCTCTGACTTTCAACACAATCGTAGTCGACAGTTGGCCGCAGATGTCACAAGATTTGTAGCATCTCAAGAACTAGTCATTGATGAATGTGAACTCAGTGTGCTCATCTTCCACGGTCTCTTACAGAAGTAGGCTCGCAGTCGCGTCGCTTTACTCCTGGTAAGACTATGGGTGAAGCAACTGTAGCTCTTTTTATCCGAATTTCCGTATCATTGTCTTTTCTAATTCTATTCCCAAAACTATGTGGTCTTATTCTCCATCCAGTACAGTCCGGATTTGCTTTTTGATACTGTGTTTTGATCTCATTTCTTTCTACTAATTTCCTGATCAGAGAGAAGGATCTGCATGATCAAACGGACAGTTTCAAATTAAGAGAGAGACTCAATCGAATATCCCGTCGTAAAACCAAATGTGCTGCGCAAATACTAATTCACGTTTCATTTGGAAAGCTTCTCAAAGTATCAGCTTTTTCCACACGCAAAACGGCTTTCATTGGCTCTATAAGAGATGCTGTATCAGAAGGATAGGCTGCCTGTCGGATTTTTATTCTTTCACAATCCTTTGCCTAATTGATACTGGCCGAGTCAAAAATTTGGATGAACCGCTTGATCAATATGGCAACCGTTCGCAAGGAGTGGTTATTCGATCAAGTCTTCAAAATTTGAGATTCCGTTGTTTAGCGAATATACACTCATTTGCAAACTAATTTGGTTCTTTCCAGAGACTCACCTGGAACCCAGCTGAATCTCTCGTTTATGATGTTCTCAGGCGACTGAATGTGCTACACCAGGCCGCATCATGTTTCAGTCGCTACGATATTTGAAATATCGTGATACATGTATATCTTTGTAATGTACTACTCATAAGGTTGCTGAAAATCCGTTGTTTAGTTCTGAGCCTTGCGTAGCTTGGAGTTTTGTCTTAATTCATAAAGTTCTAGCCCCAAAATTTTACGTGTGACTAAAAACACTCACTAATAATAAACACCCACTGTGGACTCTACATCTGAAGACATCTGGAAGTAAATCGGAATCGGTCATAAAGGAAACTACTCACAGTGTTGCTGAAAACTCTTCGACAGAAACCTTGTGAGTAGTTTCCTTTACGAAAATATACTGCGATATCTCGAATATCGCGTTAATTGAAATATGAGGCTGTCTGTGTGCAGCACATTCAGTTGTGTAATATCATAAAAGAGAGATTCAGTTGAGTCTGTCGTGAAATTCAAATTGATTTGCAAATGAGTGTATTTCTCGAACTTGGTCATCTTTTAGCGAATCTCGACTGCTGAATTTTTCGATGCGGCAAGTACGTGAACAAGCACATAGGTCAAAGTTTAAACAGATGAAATTCCAAATCATTTGAACAATTGTCTCACGTATGTTATGAATCTCCTTCATGCGCCTACGCTTACTCACTTTTCTTTGATCGGTAGATTGGCTGGGCTAAATATCTGACCGGCATTGTTGACTACCTTAGCCTGATAACAGCACGTCCATAGGTAACTTGCAATCTTCTGGTCAAGTTGCAATTCTCGGGTGATTTTTACTTGTTGCAGAACCATCGCAAACTGTTAGCTGTGTTTGGAAAACTGAGAGAGATTCGGGACTCTCACCACATCAATCTTGGGGTGGCACATTTTGCAACGAATGAGATCGGATCATAACTTTCGTTGTAAACATGTATACTGCCGACAGATCGAAACGGCCAATAGAGTCACGATTTTCCGTTCAACGCTGCGTCAACCCATATCCACCGATGACATGCCAAACTCAGATTACCTGACACAAAAGTAGCCTCAGATGAAGTGAGGGTGTATTACTTCACAATTTGTATTTCGTTTTGTCGTCCACGTAAATTGATTCAACCGCATAATTTTTTGACAGTTTGTTTATCCGACCAGTCTTGGATCTGCATTACTTGTCATTCCACTGTCGACTGTCCCATCGGATAGACCTATTCTTCGTTGTATCAATTTTATTCACACTACCACCCCGGCTTGCTTAGTCTGGTAGTGTTTGGCCCTGTTACACACTTCCGTAACAACCGATTTGGTGTGGGAGAAACAGAAATTCGTTTCGAAATCCAGGAGCATCTATTCTACCTGCATCCAACAGCTTACGCAAGAGTAATTGGTCACTCTCAACCTTACAGGAATAGTACTGTACTCTCGGTTGCTACACTTCCTATGATATTTCGATAAATTCTTCTCATATCATCTGAACTTCAGTCACTTCGAATAAGAGTGACAAAACTGGTAGTTGAACAAGGGAGGTAAAAATGTGTGAACTGCTCTCAGTAGAGTCAACATGGTATTGTGCCAGTTCACCTTAAAACCGAGAGAAGAAGAAGAGAGAAAAGAAGAAGATCATAGTTCTCTCATTTGGTTCAAGAAGCAAACGAGGTTTGAAAAACGGTTGGTCCAAAATACACGAACCTGAGTCAGGTAAAACGTATTGTTTTACAGTTTTCAGATTAATTAACACCGTTAAAGTGAAACAAGTTCGTGGTAAGGTTCATTGCACTGGAAACTATAAAGCTCAGATACACTCAGAATCATAGTTTAACTTTCCCCCCATCTAGTACTCATGAGTAAGTTTTTTAGAATCGCAGAACTGCTAAGTTTGCACTCCACTGCATTTCGAAATAATGGAGTACAGGCATGGCATAATGATGAATACGCGCTGACGGTGGGCCCTAATATAAGGAGTCACCGAGTCCCGTACTAACCAGAACAGGGAAAGGACTGTTCAGGTGACGTTGCCGTGCCCTCCTTTGACTGAATCACTTTTACCGTTGTTCACCCTTCTTGCGCGCATCGCCGTTGGTCATGCAGCGGACTGGTCCAACGCTCTGATTGGCTGTATCGATTAACCTGATGTCCAGTTGGACATTGACGATTGTCCAGTTCTCGACATGCTGCTCTCGCCACACTAACAGAAAAGCTACGACAGTGAGAAGTTCGTGACACTGCAGACAATGACCGGTGAGAACTTCGTTCATGGCACCTTGCAGATTAGATGTGGAAAAAGTACATCCATTAGGAAGGCCATCTGTGAAAATTTCAAGCAGAAGATCCTTAATACCGGAAAATACCCCAAAAAGTACATTCACAGAGAATACAAAAGACAGCTGATGAAGAAACACATTCAACATTTATGCATGCTCAGTAGGACTTTGCACCCTGTCCTAAGGACATGAATCTGACTTTCACAGTTACGATAACCTTTGTCACCTTTTCTGCAAAATTATTATTAAAATCCATGCAGACTTTGAATGACTAAATGCAAGAGGAAATGGGAGATTAGAGCATTCGTTTTTTAGTTGTATGTGGCCTGAGTGTGGTCATTTAACCTAAGTGGAATGCACTCAGTTGTCCACACCAAAATACACAAGCATCCAATGTGGGCAAAGGAAGGGAAACACCCAATATTCCAATCGCTACATTTTCCGGACAAATAACTGACATCGTAGCCTGTCAAACAAAACCGTATTAGTCAAACAATGAATGCTTGCACTATACACGAAAAATATGTACGCTAGTATTTTTTATTTCGGTCATCGCCCTAATCACAGTGGCCTTCCTAAGACAGAACAGTAGAATGAACTGAGTGGCGTTTTCCCAACCCTTAGAACTACAGTCATTCAAAAAAGTAGGTCTTTGAAAATTGTAGGAGATGAATATGTCTCATCGCAATTAGGAGGACAATGCAAACAGGGTGTGTCCTGTGCATTCACATATACATGACAAGAACAGAGCACAGTGTACTTTTTGGTCTGTTTAGCCGCCTAGGTCAGATGCCCTCGAATAAATCTTCGGTACAGAAGTGACAGACGTTTACTCCGCTTGCAGAACAGAGCAACTCAGAGCGCAACATTTGAGTTCTGTTTTGTGAGAAATGTACGGTCTACTTCTTGAGGGGTTACGTCACTATTTCACGTCACACCATTCTGTGGCCCTATGGAACACGGTTTTATCAAAAGCTGGCTGTGATATTAAACAATTTGAGATCAAACGCGTCTATGATGAAGATCTGTTGCCCAGACTGTTTCATACAGCAAGCAAGGTGCTACAAATTCCAGAGGACAAAATCAAGATGGATATGGGTCGATTGTTTGTCGATTTTGTGAGCAGTAAAGGTTATCACAATCTGCTCTCGGTACTTGGACGTAGTCTGAGGGACTTTTTGAACGGTCTGGACAATTTGCACGAGTTTCTACGCTCCTCGTATCCACACATTATGCCCCCGTCATTTTTCTGTGTGAATGAAAGCCGTACAGGCATCACATTAGAATACCGTTCCAGAAGGGAGGGGTTTGTGCCGTTTTTCATCGGATGGATGGAGGAGTTGGCAGAAAAGATCTACGATACACAAGTCAGGATTACGGTAAGTTTTGGAATCAAATTTCACGCTTAAGTTTTTAGTTGGGATCTTTTTCAAATAAGCCAAACCAAAAAAATAACCCCTGCTATCCAAAGAGAATAGAGAAAAGAGGATATGAAATTCGTACTTCTAGTAGTTATTGAAGAGGGTGAAATTGGGACAGGTCATTATTACCTTGCATGAAAAGGTTCGTTTTTGGGTACCTTTGCCTCTAAATAAACTCACACAAGTAGCTGTCCACTGAAGATCAGTGTGTGCCGCATTGGCGTTTATGCTGCATCTTGTAGACGTGCCAAAAAGATTCGATGTTTTGTGTGTGAGCTCGTTGTGTGTGAGTCGTTGGATTCACGAAGTTTTCGGTATGATCAACCGTTTCATGAGTATAATTCATGTCAATCATCGTTTCAGTTCCTTGGTATGATGCCTACTCACTGAAGATGATGATTAAGCCGGGAGTGATGCAGGCCTGGATTACGTCCATCAGAGTGGACCCAGTTCGATCTGGCACTGCATACATGAACAACTCTTTAGTTTCCCAGCAGTTCCCCCCACCCCGAAAATCCACTGCTGAGGAAGGACTCGCTCTGCGTGGTTTTTACGGCGAGATATTAGCGTTTCATCGATCTCGACGTGTAGACCTGGGCCTCCGATAACTGCTGGAGTCTGCAAAAGCAGCCAGATGCAAACTTCGAGAAGAAAGTTCTTCCAGTCAACAGCGGTCGTGTGGCTAATAGATAATTCCTCTGAGCGGAATTTGATTTTTGCCAAATTTTTAGACTAGTAATAAATGAATAGAATTACTGTCCTAAACTCCATCCTAGACCTCACTAGCCAAGTTCCCTTTCGAAGACCGATTTCTTGTCGACACTGTCGGGTATTACACCTCCACCTGTCAGAAACAGTTGAACGTGTCATTAGGTGGTAATTGTTGCATAAACGTTGCATAAACGGAGAAAATGTTTGCACAAAATGAGCCTAGATGCAGATAAGGTCAAGGTCAAGGTTGTGTGCGTACATTAAAATGGAGCTGGCAAAAGTGGCGAGGCCTAACTTTTCGCACATGTACTTTTTGCATCAGTGGTGAGGTTCATCTGGAAAACATCCTTTAGTTGGTCCTAGAAACATACCTACTAGCTTTCAGAAATCTCAGCCCGCTGTGGTGCTAATCTAACTGTCTTCTGATGTTCTGGCGGACAGACGTACGGAAAAATTTAGTTCAAGCTAATCCCTTTGACCCGATGACTGCCTTCTCGAAGTGTCTTGGATATTGGATAGATTTTCCGTTGCAAGGAGCGGTTTCATGACCCCTTTCAAATAATCCCGTGTTGTAATACACATGAATGGAATCCTGTGCAAAGGTGATTGTTCGAATGAGACCACTGTTTCACTCGTGTAAAAAACATCGTTTATCTGTAGCACCTTTTTGGTGCCTAACTGCCATGCCAGCAGAAGGGTGTACGAGGCATGGGATACTGCCAGCTGTCCATGTCTAAACCGGGGAAGACAAGAGACAGAGGTCAGGTTCGAACGACGAAGCTTCCAGGCAGTAAATCCGCGCTCTGACCACTGAGCCATCTCGCGCATAATATCCATCTATTAGCAGCACAGGTGGGCTGTTATAAAACCGGAAAACCTAAGCTGCAGGAAACTCCTCTATAAAAAATTGCAGTAGTGCATACGTAGGGTGAGATCTTTTACTTGCCATCTCGGTTAAATTAACCTGAGACAACATTCAGCAATTAGGATACAACCAAACACTTCATAATAAAGGATCAGATTGGATTCTACTCAGGATAGACCACATTCAGGGGATTTCACCTCTGTTGGGGCGAGATGGCGCAAGTGGGTAGAGCGCGAATTTACTGACAGGAAGGTCCGTAATTCGAACCCGACCTCTGTCCCTCGACTTCCCGTGTCTAGGCTTGGGCAACCTCGCAGGATCCGAGCCCTGGTACAATCTTCGGATGGCAGTTATGTACGGAAATGGTGCTATAGCTGGGCCGTTGTTGGTGCACCAGGTTGTTAAAAGGTGTAGAGTATTGCCTATATTTCTTGATGAATTAAAAGCTACTCGAGAATTATATTCTCAGCTACTGTCAATCTAGGGCAACTCGATATATAGTTCTCCATTCTTTACCTGAAGTGAACTCAGAGCTGTCCTAATGATTACTCACGTATATATATATATACATATATATATATGTATACATATATATATATATATTTCAAAGTTTTTATCTTTTCCGAAATTAAACAACCTAATCCTTCATACGACTCCAAATTCGTCTGAATACGAGCAAATTAGCAGTCAAGAATTTTCGTCTATATTCTTAAAATGACTTTGGAAACAAACTACTAGTGTGTCTGCGGGTGCCCGCATTTAAAAAAAGTTTTGCTCAAGCTTACAGGACCATCGCTGCAAACGGGAGGTACTCCAAAACTTTCATGAATTTGGAAAGTCAGTTGCTTCAATCCTAACACTACTTACAAGCGATATATCATTCACTGAAACCGCTAGCAAACAGAACACGATTAGCAAAACCAAAGTAGTGGTCATATTCGGATGGCGAAAGTTGGGCTTGAGAAATGCTCACTCCAAGACAAAGAAAGACCAGCATCGATGAAGAAATGGCGTTTTAATTTTAGTTCTGAACTTAGACCTGCTGATTAAACAGACTGAGTAAATTGAAAAAGTTTAGTCATGCTGAGAGTCTTTGTAGGCTTTGGTTTGAGCGCCACTCCTCAGGATTTCCAGAACTGCTCTCTTGATTTTGCAACCTGTGGATTTCCCGAGTGTTCTGAGCTATGGTCAAGTTTATGAACCCCGGTTAGTGTGGTTACCCTACTCCTCTAGAAATTTAGTCATAGACTTTCGGGGGAGATTGAATGTATTCTCTAAACATGTGCTCGCTGTGGATACAGTTTAGAACTAACCAATTCGAAGTGAAAACTCTTGAGCGGTCGGTTCAGCTTTTTCCATATATTTGGAAATATGTTGATCGTAATCAGGCGCCCTGTCTCAGACGGTTCTTTTTTCAATCAGCCCTAGACTACAGACAACCACTAGTTTAAGAAAGCGGTAGTTGGCATGTCGCACGGGCTTAGTAGTTAGCTTGCAAACGTTTCGTTACCAGTGAAGAACACGTCGGTAGTGAGCTGTTCCTTTAGGGTGCATGAGCTCTGGAGCTCTTTTGACCGGATTTAGTCGATATCAGTGTGCATGTTGATCGCTTTTTCAAAAGATTACCAAGAACGAAACTCGAGTCCAGTGCTGTCACCGTTTGGTACAGAACAACCACGCCAAGACGAAGATATGACTGTTCAAACGACAGTGATGTGAATTAAACTGTCGTTTACCGAGTGTACTGTCTTAGTGATTGCAAATTAGTGGAAATTCTTATCAATAACTTGTTATGAACCTTCGTCGCCGAGAAATGCGGAATAAAAACAAGTTTCAGCAGGTAGGTTTGTTTGGCGGGACAGATTTCACTGGAGAATTCAGTTATTGTGATTCTCCATGTCATGATTCTCCAAAAGCTGTTCTGAGACCCTCGTCTGTGAACTAGTTTTGCGAAACTTCAGCTCTTTTTTTACAGGGTTTGTTCAGGAGCCCAATACTGTTTGGCTGTCCTTCCATCTTGTTAAAAGTCTTCCTACCCAGAAGAATTTGACGGTTTTGGTTGCCACACTAACGTTCCCAAAGTCCTTGTGCATTATCACACTATTAGACGACAGAATGTCATCGGGTAGCATTTGTAGTAGTGATCCCGCCCCAAGCAATTTCGCAGGTGTATTCTAAAATGCTAACACAAATGGACTGACTCAAGTTACTCCGGGAAGAATAGCTTTCCGTGTTAGCAACTGTGGTGTCCGCACGCTCAACTATTTGTCCACTTATGGTATTTTCTCATGGTGATAGAAATCTGGTGTGGTGGAAATGGTGAAACCTTCTTCTCCGACTGAGCCCGGGGACGGTGCTTTGGACCCCGGATTCAGCATAGTGGGATGGAGAGTATAACGGAAAATTTCACCTAAGGCTGCAGTTTCTGGTCTACCAAGGTGTCATTACAACAAATGTCGGCATAAATATAGAATGCTTTACTTTGCAAATGATTGTTTATACCAAAGCGCAGTGCCCGTTCGTAGTTCCTTGACAAACTGATGGCGTGGGCCTTTGAGCGTATTTTCACTTCCTGCCAATCGTTCAAATTCAAAGCTTCCTGGAACGCTCACTGTTGCGTACCTTCACTGTTGAGCCTTCTGAGCCGATTTGCCCTAAGTTTGCGTTTCCGAGAACTTGTTACCTCCCATCCTGTTCGGCCGGGATTCTGAAGCGATGGTCCGACACATGTTGATCTTCGCTTCATTATTCGGTTTTTTCCTCATCTATGTTCCTCAAAAACCCAGTTAGATATGGACAAGTGGCCAATGTCAGCTGGAGGAAATATGTTATCTCTTGTGACTTAATGCTGTTTTTTAACTGCAGAGTTCGACTGCGCTGTTAATGAGTCATTATTGTAACTTTATCTTGTTTTAAGATGCAGACTTTCCTTAGTAGTAATTAGTAGTATGTTAGGGACATGGTAAGGATAAAAGGCTAATAGAAGCTCTCTTACTGCACTTACCTAATGAGCCCAAAGAAGGACTCTCGATGAATTTTCAGCAACCTGATGAGTAGTGCGTTCCGTCTGGACAAACCTACTCTGAGTATAAAACCCAAGCCGATCAAAATACTGGCCGATAATCTGTGCAAGTAAACAAAACGTGTGTCTGAGAGTAAGAGGCTACAGTTTGCGGCTGTTCACAAAGCGTGATGAGATTTCAGCGCGACAATTATATCTGAATAAACAACAGCATTAATATATGGAGAAAAATACTACCAAGTGCTAAGTGAGATCTGAAGAAGTTCCTGTTGATTCGTGTTACCCAGAGTAGCAAGGAACAATTCCGACCTTATTCTGGCGTGAACGATGAATTCAACGCTCTCCATTCATTTCATTCGC